TTCCAGGTGTGAGCCACTGTACCTGGACATATTTTTATTTTTCTTGAAGGCATATATGTTGTGCCAAACCCCTAATATAAACTATATGGATTGTTATAGAGTGAGTCAGAAGTTAATGGGAAGAAACAAGCACACCATGAATTTACTCCCTGTCATAGAGAAATTATATTAAAGAGCCTTTTATCCATCTAGAAATGCCAATTCTTAAAGGATGGAAACAGGTTATGGTTAATAAACTTCTTGTACTTTTTGACAGAAAAGCTAATATTTCAAATTATTTATTAATGTTAGACCTTAATGGAAATAAATGCTTATTAGGTGAAAAACATTAAAGCTAAACTATGGGAATAAACATTTGTATAATTACAAGTGATTTAATGAATTTGATCTTGAAACTATTGAGTACCTACAGCCGTTCTACATTGTTTGTTTAGTTGTATTTTGTCAGATTCCCGAAATGATTTCAGGAAGCTTATGGAAGATACATTCAAAAATGTAAATAAATGTATACTATAAAATAGAAACTAAATGAAATAAAAACGAATGATATCAGAAGTTAAAAATTTGAAGAGAAAATCAACACTAGGGGGAGAGCTAAAATATATATTTATATTATTGACCATAAAGGCATAAACACTTGGTAAAGATTTGTTCCACATTTGAGTCTGAGCTTCGTTTCAGCCATACTGGAAAGGAAAATTCAGTTGCTTACATAATTCTTATTGTTTACAAGGGGAAAAAAAGTCACTCAAGGGAAAAAATACTTGCACTCGCATCTATATAGTTTTTTACATGAGTTTTCCTATAGGGCATACCCAGTGTGAGTGGTGAAAAGTGTTGATAGCCAGTGTAATAATGTGACTCATAAAGTTACTTCTCAAAGCATCAGGACCCTTGTATTATTTTGGTGGTCAAGAAAAAGATTAGAATTAGAGGTGAAAACTGTGTGTGCGTGTATATGTTTTGTTTGTTTTTTAAAACCAAAAGATTGAATTTTGGAAGTAAAATTTGAAAGAGATGGGCCGTGGTAGAATTACCTAAGGACTTAGGGTAAAATCTTGGAGATGGCCTGCGTTAATTAAGGGTAACAGAAGAGCAGAATCCCATAAAGGCTGCTGAAATGAAACAAAGAAATGTCAGAGGAGGAACAAAATTCTGTAGTATCAGAAAAGGCAAAAGATATCAATGAGTGTTTTAAAAAAGAATTGACCAAGGATATGAAATGTAGAGAGACCACTTCACTGTTGGTATGAACAATTAGAGTTTAATTAATGATCTTTTGAGAGTGGTTTCAATAGAATGAGAAAGGGCAGGCTTAGAAAGTAGACTGGCAGAAATGGGAAAGTGTGTATAGACCTCCTCTTTCAAGGAGGGCAGAGGTGACAGAATTGTAGGTTGGTAGACTTGAGATAGAGCGATTGATTGGCAGGCAAGGAAGGGGAATAATAATGTGCAAGATTGCAGAGGAGGAGGGAGACTAACATGCTCAACATAGATGGTGCTCAGAGAAGAAAGAGTCACTCTTTTTGCTGAGCTACAAGGGAAAGACAAACAGAAATACTGAGAAACTTTGTGTTGGAAGGGAGGTGATATGGTTTGGCTGTGTCCCTGCCCAAGGTTCATCTTGAATTGTAGTTCCCATAATCCCCACACATCTTGGGAAGGACCCAATGGGAGGTAATGGAATCATGGAGGCAGTTACCTCCATGTTGTTCTAGTGATAGTGAGTTTTCATGAGATCTGATGGTTTAATAAGGGGCTCCCCCACCCACCCCACCCCACCCTTCACTCTGCATGTCTCCTTGCTGCTGCCATGTTAAGAAGGACGTGTTTGCTTTCCCTTCTGCAATGATTTTAAGTTTCCTAAGGCTCCCAAGCTATGCTGAAGTGTGAGTCAATTAAACTTCTTTCCTTTAGAAATGACCCAGTCTCGGGTACGCCTTTATTAGCATCATAAGAATGGACTGATACAGGTGGGAAGCTACAGGAATTTATATCAGTTGGCTTCTAAGTGGTTCAAGATTTTTGAGGTAATTTGCCAAGTGAGGTGAAACTGTGTGTGGATAGGGAATCTATTTAAGTCAAGACTCTTCAGGTCAAAATACCATGCTTAGAACACACTTTTTTGAGTTTATGTAGATAGCATTTTTCTGGCTTTAAAAATGTCAGTTCTTTGCTTTCTTAGAAATAATTTAGCTTGCCTTGTTCCTTTATGCCATTCAACTCCCACAGATGTATTTATTTCCCTTCTTCTTCCCTCCTTTCATTAAAAGGGCAAATGGATATATATATATGTGTGTGTGTGTGTATATATATATATATATATAAAACAAGTAAATGAACTTTATACTAACAGGCTAAGTAGAATATTTATGAATAGTACCTTTTAGAAAAGTGCTAGGAAAATGGTTCTTCACTATTTTCCTAAAACATTTATAGTAACTTGATGAATAATGAATGGGAATAATTTATAATATCCTCATACTTCACTCAAATAGAATACTTGTTTATACTCCTACATAACAGTTACATCATGGCTATATTTTACATAAGGAGTCATATATTTTTAATGTAAATGTTGCTAAAATAGTTTCATTCAATAGAGTCACAGAATCTCAGTGTCTTAAGAGATCTCAGAGGACAGGATGTTCTAGAATATCCCTGAGAGACATTCAGCTAGACATTTCTTCACTTCTGTCTAAGTTGTATATTCCGGTGATCATGGGCCATGCTAAAATATAGTCTAAATAAGTCGTCAGTAAGTTGACTAGCAAGACTAGGATCACGTCTACATCTTTGCTAATGAATATAATGCTAGACTTTTTATATGTGCATAACTGAGATTTAATCAATGAAAATAGGTAGAAACAAGTTTTATTTTACAGTTGAGTTTTGCAGTACAGTGGGAAGACTACATTTTTAAAAGACAAAATAAGATTTAGCCTTCAGAAAAAGTAGCTGGATCAAAGCAATTTCTAAGTAGAAACTCAAATTTCAGTCAGTATTTTAAATAGACACATCCTGACTCCCTTCACAGATTGCCACTGACCATATGGTAACTGCAGACATGCCTCAAAATAAAACAGCCATATGCAGATTTTCAAATACTGACCTCATCCCTAGAGAACCATATTTATCTAGAAGAGCATCTCAAGACATATCAAGTAAAATTATGGTTTGTGTCATCTTTGAAGATTAGAAGAATCAGCCTAATGAAAAACAATCACAAGTTAAGAACAAAATGCCAAGGAAAATAAGGTTAGATACCCACAGACATTTAAAAGCAAAGGCATCTGGATTTGTGTCTTTTGAATTCTCCTTGCCCAGTCCTTATACACAGTAGGAAAACACATAAAAGTAGCATTAAAATCTATCATGTGCTATGGCCATCAGAGTGGATTTAGTGCAATGCTTAAGGGATGATCAATAGGAATGCTTGGTATGCGTATTCCTTCTCACACTAGCAGTCACTGGATGCAAATATTTTCTGTCTGCTGGATGTGCTAATCGAATACCAATATTATTTTTCCTGATTTCTATTATAAAATTTCTAGAGTAGAGCATGTGGAACTCAATTCTGTGGTTTCCTCCTGTTAAACATTCTCTATTGAAATTCTGCCACAGTTTTCCAGAACAGTTAGCTTTATGGGCATGTGTCTGTGAATTAAAAACATGGAAGAAGGAGCAGAATTGTTGCAGGAATTTGGAACAGATGTATTTATATGTTCAGTGGTACCTCATTTCTCTTATCAAAATTGGAGTGGAGAAGGGGCCAGAAAAGGGGATTCAGGAAGTAAAGGTCTGCAAGTGATAAGAAGATTCTTTAATGTGTGATGACTGTAACTACGAAACCTCTCTCTCCCACTCTTTATTTATATATTTATACATATACACACTTCTGTCTTTCTACACACACCCCCACCTCTGTCTGTGTCTCTCTCTCTATGTGTGTGTGTGTGTGTATACATCTCTATGTACATACACATACATATAATATATATATATATATATGAGAAAAAGATTTTAATGACCTCTTTGTGGACAGGCAAGCCCTGCATCACATAGGTGTAGTACTATGCTAGCAGGTCTCTCATGTCCAAGTTTTGTTTAAATCTGAGCACTCAGGGATATGCCAGTTGCTCAAAATTGATAATATTAATAATTCCTAAATGTTCTTTAAGAGCTTTAGTTTTTCCATTACATTCCTTTTAATGTAGTGGTATTTTATGGAATTTGATTCAGTGATTGTGTTTCAGACAGAGTGATACATCACAGGTTTGCCTTCAAATCAAATACGGTTATGATCCTGAAGGAAATTACCCTCATAGGCTAAAAACTCTGAAAATTATACTCTATCCTAAAAGGTCACTGAAATTTCTGAACTAATCCTTTTTTTTTCCCCACTCCCCACTCCTGAACTAATCTTTATAATACATGAATGAACCTAAACATTTTCTTTTACAAAGCAAAGCCCCTCACTAGTGTATATCACTGGATATGTAAGTAGAAATCTGTGAAATTTATTTTTAAAGTCTTATTTTTGTCTCTTGTTGTGTAAATTAGATTACTTTATTCTAAGCCAGATTTGTGAGTAGTTTTTTTTTTTGTTTTTTTTTGAGACGGAGTTTTGCTCTTGTTACCCTGGCTGGAGTGCAATGGCGCGATCTCGGCTCACCGCAACCTGTGCCTCCTGGGTTCAGGCAATTCTCCTGCCCCAGCCTCCTGAGTAGCTGGGACTACAGGCATGTGCCACCATGCCCAGCTAATTTTTTGTCATTTTAGTAGAGACGGGGTTTCACTATGTTGACCAGGATGGTCTCGATCTCTTGACCTCGTGATCCACCCGCCTCGGCCTCCCAAAGTGCTGGGATTACAGGCTTGAGCCACCGCGCCCGGCCTGTGAGTAGTTTTTAAAATTTATTTGAACTTATTCAGATTACTCAGTCTCTTTCACTGTGTTGTCTGATTTTGTACTCTTCAGTTTTGCTAAAAGTAACAAGATGAGTCTTTAACAGAAAACCTTAAAACGTTTTCAGCAATAAAAACATCAATCCTTCATAGAAATCCAATAGCACTATAAAATTAAAACTAATGTACTAGCTTAATAATGTCCATAAACTTGCTTTTCAATAATAATTTATTTTTGGTATTGATCTCATAAGGGGCTGTTTAGTTATGAACTGCTTTAGGCCATAAAATGCTTTGGGACAAAGAAAATTAAAGGAATTGTATTGGGATTATGATGCTCTTAACAGATCTTTCAGGAATAAATGAAACTGTTTATGCTAGTTAGCTGATATCTTTTATGTTAAGTTGTATTTACTTGGGAAATACATTATATGTATCGGATTATTTTATTGGACAGTTTTTCCTGAAAATTTGTAAAATAAGACAAGAAGACTAAATGGCTTATCTAATTATTTTTTTTCTATAGAAATCTAGATTTTGATTCATATTTGGTGTGTAGATCAGCCTTCTGGCTAAGGTTCTCAGAGGTGGCTGGCAATCTTTACTAACTGAAAGCAGGTTCAGCAGCCTCTCATAGCTTTGATGGAAACAGCTTAATTGCCCAAGATAGCCTGTGTGTAGATCAGCCCTAAGAAGAGAGATTTTTTTTCTATTTATATGCTATACTATAGAATATTATGAGATTGTCTTTGTGAGAAAAATAGATCCTAAGATCCGGCATTCACCTTATGATCTCCAGGACCCTGTGTACCAATACTCTTGCATATGGTGACCATATTCTTGTAAGTACCTACCTTGAAGGCTCTGTCGGTTATGTTCACAGCATGGTGAAAATACCTTAAATCTCAAGTGTCCTAGCATAGCTAAACAAATGGAAGATCTGGTTATATGTCCTTTTCCTTTTCCCACAGCATTTACATTCTTCCATAAGCATTTATGCTTCTTATCTATTTTAGGAATGGTACCTTTTTAAGTAGGTGAAAGATGAGAGACTGGAAAATCCATACTTTGAATTAACTCTTCTTTTGCATGAACGTAATGCTTTACTTCCTACCACATTTTGGAAAACTTAGCACTACCCTTTTATAGACACCTTTACTCTTACTCTTCACTTAATGATGACCACTGAATTTTTTAAAATGTAAAAGACAGTGGTTTTTCTTTTCCTTTTTTAGTGGTACAGGTAATAGAAAAGTAGGAAAAGAAAGTTAAGGATGGGACAAGAACTACTTTGAAATTAGAGAATACATTACTGGCTCATATATTCAGTTCATTTATATATAGTTCCTGGATATTTTTAGAATAGTTGTGATTTTCTGAGAATGATGCTGACAGAAAACGTCTGTTTCTTTTAAGATGTTTTATTTCAAGGTACCCCCAGACATTTGCAGTAATCATACTTCCAGAATCTGGGGGACAACAGCAATTTTTTTTAGAGATACTCTGCCCCAATGGAAGAGCATAGACCATTTAATTCAGGCTGATGTTTATTTTTTTGATATTTTTATTTATGATAACTATTATATGTAAAGCCAGTATAGCATGAATCATGCATGGTCAGTTTTCAACCTTCATTCTCATTGGTACTTATTTGTTGAATGTCTAAATGTAAAAAAGGAACATGCTAATAGAATATTACTCAATATCCATATAAAACTTACATATCTATATGAATACAGCTTATTTAACCAAGCAAGCGATTAATCTTTAGTAGCATAGGTCATGTCAAAATGCTCTGATCTAATAGATTCAAGAATACTTGATTTCTTGGGAGTCTACATGTGATCTCAAATGAAGGCAGGAGAATGAAATACTTCTGATTTATCTGTAGTTGTATGAATAGTTTGGCAGTATATATCATTGAAATTGATAGAACTGTCATTTATTATGGGAGCCTGTGATCTAGGTCTTACTGATTTATCCCTAGTGGATTACTAGTAATCTATGTTGGAGTTTTAACTATGAAGAAAAGAAGTTGTAAGTATACAATCCATTTATTCTTTATGTTGGTGAAGCTATTTGAAATATTTTGCGGAATCTTAGATGTGAAGGGCAGTTGTTTATTTGATTATAGAGAAGGAAAACCTATACAATTTACTGGCTGTTTTTAATGTAAAACTTGGAAATTGTATTCAGCTATGGAAAAATTCTACTAGAGAGCTTACGGATGAAATCATAGCATCAGTAGTTGAGTTAATGTGGGATATACTTCTCATGCATTTCCACCTTTAATTATGAAAATACCTATGAAATAGGTGTCACTACATATGAAGCACATGGAGCTCAGAGAAGGTAAGGAACCTGCGCAATATCATACAGCTTCTAAATAGCCAAGATGGAGTCAATCCTGCATGTCCCTGATTTGGAGAAATTATGCTATTCAACACTGCTTATGGTTGTGTAGTCTTTAGCAGATGCAAGTCATGTATGTTCTTTTATATGTGTTGAAAAACGGGGTAGGTGAGAAAACTTTATTATATCACTAAGAACAACAGCGTGTTGTGAAAATACTGTCAGAATACCATCAGTCAAGGGTGTCTGTCCTTTCATTTAAAAGTGGCTTTGTCTATAGACAATATTAACGCTAAGAATATAGCTATTTCAGAAAATTATATGGACACAGGGAGAAAATTACATGGACACATACTGGGGCGTGTCAAGGGGCCAGGGAAAGGGAAAGCATCAGGATAAATAGCTAACGCATGTGGGGCTTAATGCCTAGGTGATGGGTTGATAGGTGCAGCAAACCACCATGGCACACGTTTACCTGTGTAACAAGCCTGCACGTCCTGCACGTGTATCCCGGAACTTAAAGTAAAATAAAATAAATTTTTTTTAAGAAAGAAATTTATTTAGAAAGGATACTTCTCCTTTTTAAAGACAAGTTTTCCAGAACAGTAATTCTTCCTTATTTTTTCCTTAGCGACATACCACACTCCCATGGCTGTTATGACGTTTGAAGTTCCTTTAGTTGAGAATTGCTGAGGAATGCATTTTATGTCTGCTTCATTTATGTAGATACTTTTGACAAAGAAAATATTTTAGAATTTAGAAAGAATTCTTGATAGTAACAGAAAGTGGTTTTTGAAAACGGTATTAAGACCTATAATAATCTCCTCTTCTAAGTAGATAAAAATCTTTACTTTAGCAACCTGGAATAATAACGACTAGATTCACACAGTCATTGCATACAAGCCCTAATGTACCATGATCCGCTTACAAGCATGCATCTATAGACAACTGGCCCATCACAACATCTTGGCAAATTGATTGCCTTGGAGGATTTCAGAATGTATTGGCATAAATGCCAGAGCGTGAAGGAATGACTGAATCACATGGGGTTGAATTTATCAATAGCAGCAGCCCATTCTTCCAAACAGAACATGTGCCAAGCACCAGCTTGTAATCACAAACATCATCTGCTGCATATTGAAGAGGAAAACAGCATGGGCGTGCTCAGGATCTTAGTGGTAGTTTATAATTAATCACAACATTGTTTAGCAACTTGGAGTGTACTCAAATTGCTTCATCCATGAATTCTCAATACCCATACTTGCTCTGGGTACTGATATAGAAAGACATATCTAAAGCTTGAATGCTAAAAGGAAATGTTTACAAAACCCAGCAGTGGTGAAGGAGCTCTCAAAAGCCATGCATCTTGATTTACTTTGAAATTAGATGACATGGGGTAAAGAACAAGTTTGGAGTGAGAAATGAGGACTTCCGTTTTGTATGTACTTGAGTGGCATAGCTCTTGTGGGTCCTTCCTTATGCCTTAATCTCATAATACTGTGTGTGTGTATGTCTGTTAGAGCACTTACCCCATTGTGTTGTAGGTTGTTTTGTTTCTTTAGGTGACCCCATCCCAGTATGATGAGCTCCTCAGGGGCTGGGCTTCTTCGTGTTTCTTTCCACAGCATGGAGTAGGCTCGTGGGAAGCGCTTCAGGTATGATAAGGAACTAGGGGATTCTTGGCCAGAGAGAGAGGAGAAATCAATGGAAGTCCAAGGAGGAGGAATGCTTAAAATGGATGTTGTGAGAACATGATTGGGAATCGGGCAGATATGAGTGAAAGGCTCCCCTGACAGCACGCAGGACCTGATATGCTGAATTTTTCCCAAAATGAGTGTGGCTTATTTTTGTAATTATTCTCAAACAATGCTCAATTCCCTGGATGTGGGAATGGATAAAGGGTAGACTGAAATGAATGGCTCAAAGTAGAGAAATCTGGTAACGAGGCTGTGTACAGTGGTAGGTGGACCATGAAAACAATGAAGAAAATGAATTGGAGGAATTGAAGTCATAAGGAGCACAGAATATGTGTGTTCCTATAGCTTGGACGTATTTTAGTTTTGTCTTTTGTTACTCTTCCTGTTCATAAGCTGTTGATTTTTTATGCTAAGAAAAATCAGCTTATTTAAATGAACATACAAAATTTCTTGGCATTTGTGGCATAAACAAGATCTCGGCCCAAGTTCTCGCTATAAACTCTTAGTAGTGTGTGACCTTGGAAGAGTTATCTAATCCCTCTGTGTTTAGTTTCCTCCTTTCTAAAATCGGGATAGCAACACCTGTTCTCTCTGACTTCACAGGAGTCTGTTGATGACAGGAAATTGCTCATAAGGCTTGAAGAGTTATTGAAATGTTAGGTAATCCATTGAGATTCGAGCAGATACTTAATACTCTTGGTGATTGTATGAGAATGGCCTCCTCTGGCTGCATTCAGAAAAGGATCCTGGTGTTGGGGGGCCTTGCTGTGTTTGATTGTAGCCCAATTATAGGGCCCTAAATTGAGGAGTGGAGAGAATAATATTTGAAGCTGAGCCGTGATGATTTTGTTCCCAGTGAGGCCCCTGCTTTCTCCACAGAGACATCTTTACTTTGTCAGCAGTGGGGAAGCCTCCTACGGTTTGCATCTTGTAATCCATTAGTCATAAAGTGTTCCACTTTTTCCTTCTTAACTTTTATTTAATATTAATATAAGGTAAAACTCATAAATAAATAAAATGAAAAGAAAGGGAAGTATAAGAGCAAGGAAAACCTTGAAGAGATGTTAAGGGGCCTGCATCTTTGACAGTTCTCTTTCAGCAATCTCACAGCAGACTTCGTTAGTCCAGTTTGATCAAATATTGTTGCTTCCAGTAACCCCTTAGTGTTCTTATTTAAGTGACTATCATGCTCTTTGAATATTGAATTTTTTTCTTATCACACTGCTCACCATGTCAGCCTTCCTGACATCTAGAGTGTCATTATTGGTGAAGCTTTTTCTTACTTTTGTTGTTGATTTTTAGCAGCTCTATTGAGGAATAATTTACATACAATAAAAGGCATGTATTTAAAGTGCATAGTGTGAAACGCTGGCATATGTGAAGACCATGAAACTATTGCCACAACCATGAGAGTGAACATATTTCTGCCTCCCCAGAACCTCCCTTGGTGCCCTTTTTTTTTTTTGAGACGGAGTTTCACTCTTGTTACCCAGGCTGGAGTGCAATGGCGCGATCTCGGCTCACCGCAACCTCCGCCTCCTGGGTTCAGGCAATTCTCCTGCCTCAGCCTCCTCAGTAGCTGGGATTACAGGCACGTGCCACCATGCCCAGCTAATTTTTTGTCGTTTTAGTAGAGACGGGGTTTCACCATGTTGACCAGGATGGTCTCGATCTCTTGACCTCGTGATCCACCCGCCTCGGCCTCCCAAAGTGCTGGGATTACAGGCTTGAGCCACCGCGCCCAGCCTTGGTGCCCCTTTAATCCTCCCTCCACAGGCAACCGTTGATCTGCTTTCTATCAACTTACTTGGACTCGGAGTTTTCTTTGGGGGAACTTTTTTTTTTTTTAACAAATTAAGTATTTTTAATAGCTTATAGGGTTGACTACTCAGGCTGTTTCTTCTTGAGTGAGTTGGGAAGATTACATCTTTTAGGGAATTTGTCTTTTGCATTGAAGATGTTGATTTTAATGCCATAAAATTGTACATGATACTCTTATTATTTTAATATCTGTCCTGAGTTCACCTCATTTATTGCTGATATTGGTCATTTGTGTTTCTGGCTTTTTCCTGGATAGTCTGTTGATTTTCTGTGGTTACTATAACAGATTACTACCAACTTGGTGGCTTAAAGTAATAGACATTTATTTTCTCACAGTCGTGATGGCCAGGTGTCCACTCCTGTCCCACACCCCCTCCAGAATCC